CAACCATCACCAATGCTCTCCTCTGAATCTCCACTGCATTTGCATGTTCTGTAGCACCAGAAAATCTCTGTGCAGACATTGGTACATACAATTCCATCTACCACCCAACACCAGTGAACACTTACTGAACAGTTGAAGCTGACAACATTATGCAGGCATGACACACATAATACTGTTTCCTCCTGCCATCAGTGGGGGATTAGAACCAGATAAGCAAAAGAATTCCTTCTAGTTCTAGAATTCCACACCATCATTCATTATATACTAACACAATTTTTATGTTTAAGATTAAAATTAACTCATGTTTCCAGTTGAGGAAATTTTCCAAAATATGTCACTGTTTTCCAAAGATTAACAGCATTATAATTTCTTGAAATGGAACGTACTCAGTCATATTAATGATGAACCCATTTCACACAAAAGCATTGGGGTATATGTGATTTGGTGACAGCTTAAACTTTTGGACCACTCCAAATCCTCACAGCCAAACTTACAGAGTATCAGATTGCAAGCTCTCTCCCCACCCCAAAACCACCCCTTAAAAATATCTTTCAATGAAGAGGCAAAATTTGATGACGTCTACGCTGAGAGCTTGAAACAATAGCAGCTTTATGCTTTTAACGCTTCAAAAAGCTGCCAAGTGACTACTCTAAGAATGCGTACTTGTAGATGACTGAAGACTTGCATAGGCATCCCCCTGTGACTCAGTTCCCCATTAGCAAGAGGAAATTTCTGCTACCCCCCTCCCCCCAGCACCTTTAATAAAGCAACGGCTGGTACCTATTAACTAGGGAGATGCGGGCAATTGCAAGATTGAACCTTTGGCAGAGAAGGGGCAACAGGGCAGTTAGGCAACACACTGCTGTAAAGAGCCAGTGGGTTAAGAATTTGTTGAAATGACCTAAACAAGGTACATATTTTTTAAAATCAACTGAAAATAAGTGACCAACTAGCTGGACTTATTCCACAAGCTTGATCCCCCAGTTGCTTCCAGAAAATGCCCGGCGGGCTTGGGTGCACAGTAGGAACCCCACCCAGCGTTTTCAGCAACCACTGTTTTGGAGTGAATCACCGGGGTTGCAGAGTAGGTCTGCCAAAGCGCGGGTGCCACTGCGGGTTCACCTACCCGCCTCTTCTTACAGGTTGCAGCGCGAAGAAACTGAGATACAAACTTCCCAGCTCAGAACCCTGCTGCTAGGAGAATCGCTAGAAGAGCGGTTCGGTTCCGCTGTGTCTGCTGTTGGTGGTCGGCTGGTATTCAACCTCCACCACCAGCCCCCCACCCCACCCCCGCCACACCCTTCAGTTAAAGTTTGCTCCCCATTCGCCTCTCGACTCGCTCTCTTCTCCTCCGGCAGGCTGGAGAACCACAGAGGAGTTCCTGGGTCCGTGGCGCACAAACACACCCACCAACAAAAGAAAGCCCATTAAATCTTCCCTCCTGTGAACTCAGCCCCAGAGAATACCTCTTTGAACTGACCCCCGCAGCCGCCGCCGAAGCCCCGCGCTGTCTGGGGTGCGCTGGGCCCTCCCCTGCGCTCTCCCTCCCTCCGGACTGCGCACTTTTGCAGCGCTCTGGGTCTTTGATGTCTCTTTACATTACCGGGGAGCAGCCACACGCTCTTCCCCGGCGGCGCTGGGCTTTGTGTAACGGAACTGACATTTGGCCTTGATACGTGTATCTCTTGGTGATAGTAACAAATTTCTAAAATAAATATTGTACTTTGATCTCCCCGCACTGCATTTTTAATGGACGGTCTGAATGTTACTTCATTATGAAAAGTTTTTCAGGTGCACCAAGTGTAAAGGAAGGGAGACAGACCAAAGAGCATCTTTCCCCACCCCCTTTGTAAAGTGTTTCCAACTTCAGCAGGGGCCTGAAGGTCTGGGGTCCGAGTGGGCGTTCACAAAAGGAGGTGAGGCCAAGAACAAGGACTGGGAATAGTCAAGAAAAGGCCAACTTTCCGCAAAGCACTGTCCTAAAGACTTTGCATATATACCTCTTTTAAGCCTACCGGCACTCCAGGTGAGCGCTGCTATACAAGGTGAACACTAATATTTCAGATTTACAAGAATGGCCATTCTACAAATTGGGAAACTGAGGCATAAACAGGTTGAGTAATTGGCTTGCCTGAGTCAACTAGAAAGTGACAACTAAAAATATGGTTTCAGATTTCCAGAGTCCATCCCCTTAACTATCATGCCACTGTTCTCTTTTGCACTGCTGTTCACTGATGATGATCTTATTGACTAATGGGGTCCTCTTGGAGAAAGAGTTCTCTCCTATAACAACTAAGGAAATAAATTGACTTGTCTTGACTTTTTGTTTAAAAATAGCAACAACAGGGCCTCCCTGGTGGCGCAAGGGTTAAGACGAAACCTATGAAGCTATCCACAGCCACTACAGCACGAGTACAATCCCCAGCGGGGGAGATACCCACATGGTGCAGCAGACCTCTCCTGGCTTGCCCGCTGCTCCCCTCAGCAGTGTATTTCAGTCAATCTGCCAGTTCTGTTTCCCGCTCTGTCTCTGGTGAATCCTTTCACACACACACCCCACATCTCTGGCCTGTCCCCCAGCTCTTGTATGCATGCATAAGTAAATATTTTTTAAAAAACAGCAACAACAACAAAAGATAATAAAAAACCAGTGTCTTCCAGCCCGCCGGGGAAATCCCAGGGATTCAAAGAGCTCAAAGGAGCGGGCGAGGAAACACGCTAATGGGCCAGGCCCGCTCGACATGTGCAGGCGCAGGTGTCAGTTACCTGGAGCTCTGGTTTCTGATTTGAACCTCAAAAGGGCTCCTTCAGGTCCCAGGCTTTGCCGGGACTCTACCTATGACCAGGATGTAGAAAGGTTGGCTGGGCTGGAAGCAAAACACTCTTTCCTCCGGTTCCCCGTGCCCAGAGCACCCGGACCTCCTCTTCAGAAGGAGCCAGACCACATCCGCAGAGCTGTGAGTTCACTGCTCCTCGTTCCCGGGGACAAAGGACATGTGAAGTGCATGAGGTCCATTGTCTTCAGTAGATGTTCCTATTTCCCTGGTGGGCCCGGGGCAAGAGGGAATGTGGCGTGGTGGCGTAGTGTTTCGACCCTGAGGGAATGCATAGGGCATCCGTATACAAACCAGGCGCTTAATCCGACGCCCGTTGGAGTTTGGGGGAGAAGGAGGCGGGTGGATCAACGGGTGGGGCCTCTCAAGTCAGTCCCGGGCTCGGGGCGGTTCCCGAGAGGACCGCGCTCAGTAAGACTGAGTGCGAGATGGTTTGGGGGCTCCCCGCACGACCTTGAAGAGAGGAGACCGCATCCGCGGATACGGTGGATAGAGAGGTGGGTTGGCCAAGCCCAGGTGGCCCCCGCCGCTGCGTGTCACGTGGGCCGCGGCCACCCGCAGGTGACCTCGGCGGGGATCCCTGGCCCTTAATCCTTCCAGAGCGGTGAGAACCCCTCGGCGTCCCGCCCCCTCTTCCTCCTCCGGCGTCCAGGTTCGCGGGTGAGGACACCCCCTGACCGCACCTTCGCGGCAAGTCGCATTTTGCGTCCTGGGCAAGAGGGAGGAAGAAGGCCGACTTTCGCTGCTTGGTGAGGCAGGGCCTGCTACCTAGGGGCTGTGGGACACGTTCCGGTGCGGCGTTTGCCTGACCTGGGCAAAGCATCCCGCACCTGCAAAACTTTTATTTCCTTCCAAAGGTTACAGAAACAACAGTTTTTATTTACTTTTTTTTTCCTGATAGAGGACCTCCTTCGGGCTATTTGTGGTTTGAGTAACAACAGCAAAAGGCTTCCTCGACAACGCCTGACTTTTTTTTTTTTTTTGAGTAGTTTCATGATTAGCCTGTGCGACTTGAGAAAGCGCACAATCGCTCGGCAGGACTTCGGAGGAGAAGTTGCCAGCATCGCTGGGGACGTTCGGTGGGGCCTCAGAGATGAGCCTCTCGGCCGGCCCTCCTCGGCATCCAGATCTGCCTGCTGGGGAGAGAGGTGCGGCACACACCGCCCCCCACCCGGGGCTATATTGTGGGTTGCTCTGGGTGTCCTGCCAAGTTTAGCTTAAAGCGAGCGCGCGCGGCACGGGTGGTTTTTCCCAGACTCGTTATTTGCAAAAGTTGTGACCCAAGAAAACTTGCAGGTCGCCAGCAGGAACGTCACAAGCACCCATCACTTGTCGGGCAGGCGGCCCCGGAGCGTGCGCGCCACCCACCGCCGCCCAAGGCGGACACTCGGCCCCGCCTCGGGTCACCGCTCCGCCCGCGGCTCCTCCCGGCCGAGCGTGGGGAGCGGAAGCACGCGGCCCGCTGGGCGCGGTCAGCCCCACGCCCCGCCCCGCCCCGCCCCGGGAATTCGCTGGATTAAGAGGTGTTCGCGGGCGGGTCGGAGTGCCGTCAGGGTGCGAAGTGTTTAAGTACAGGAGAGAGACGTCTCAAAGTCCCGGGACTGGAGTCTAAAGCAGATTCCTCTGGAGATAACAAAGACACTTTGTCACTTTGGGAGCTGCCTCTGTGCAAATCTTTAATTGCAATGGCTGGGACTGGGGGAGAGCGGGATCCAGTGTCTAGAGCAACCCAAGCGCGGGTCTCCAGGCGGCAAGGCCCCCTTTGATCAGGAAAATCCAATTATTTGTGTATATACATTTCCCACATAGTGATTACTTCATTAATTGTCCCGCCTTTATCTCCTCCCTTCCCATCCCCCCTAATAATCAGTTCTTTTATCCAGACCAACAAACACACCATAGGAGCTTTGTGGATTCAAAGGATTTGCTTTCGCTTCTGAAAGAGCCGCTATTCTTTGATGATTGGGTAGCGGCAAACTTCAAAGCCATAAATCTTCCCTCTGACTGGCTGGCGGCCCAGCAAAGTCCTTATCAAATTCTTGGAGGTGATCCTGAAGCGCTCAGACTGCGCGCGGAGCGAGCGAGCGGGGCGCTGCGAGGGGCGCGGGCGGGGAGGGCCGGACGCGCAGCGCCGGCTCTGGGGAGGGACGCTGGGTGGCCGTTCGTCCTCGCCTTCGGGTCTCATGCCTCGACTGCGCCCGGCTCCGCTGCCCACGGCTCGCAGGCTATAGCCATGGCCGCCGTAGCTGTCCTCCGGAACGACTCTCTGCAGGCCTTCCTCCAGGTCAGCACTGGGCTGGGAAGGGGAAGGGTCGTGCGCGGATCTCCCCTGGTACTTGGTGTGCCCTGAATCTCAAAGGGAACCCCGCTCGGAGGGTGCCACAGGGGTCAGATCTAGGGGTCCTCACGCGAACTTCACACATAACCTTAACTGTTGGGAGTGTGGCCTGTGGGGGAGGAGCGGGGGCGGGAAGGGACTCACAGGTCCGGAGGTGCGCGTGTAGCGGAGAACAGGGCCCCTGCTCACCCCGCTGGGCCCTCCTGCTGGTTTCAGCCTGAGGCGGGCGGGGGAGGAGTTGGAGAAACGTGGAAACGAGAGCTTAAAAGATGCGGAGGGTGGTTGGGCAGCGGGTGTGTGGGTGTTTCCATATCCTTTCTGACCGCGGAGCCGGGAGCGGCCCGTCGGATTCCTCTCCCCTCCCACTTTGTGCCTGCGGTCTCCGGGGCTGGATGGCGTCTCTTTGCACCGAGTAGTTTTAACAGGGAGCGCTCGCGCGGCCCGCGCGGCCCGCTTTCAGGTAGCGCAGGCACCAAAAGTTTTCCCGGACTGGTGGGTGCCGGCTTGGGACGCGGTGGCGGGAAGCGTTGGGGAGGGGCAGAGGGTTAAGAGCTGGCGTGGGGTGGCTGGCCGGCGGGGTGACCGCTCTTGGAGCGCTAACCTTTTGTCTCTTCTCCGCCCTCCCCTGCCGCCGGCCATGCAGGACCGCACCCCCTGCGCCTCCCCGGACCTGGGTAAACACTCGCCCCTGGCGCTGCTGGCCGCCACCTGTAGCCGCATTGGCCAGCCAGGGGCCGCGGCGCCCCCGGACTTCCTGCAGGTGCCCTACGACCCCGCGCTGGGCTCGCCCTCCAGGCTCTTTCACCCTTGGACCGCGGACATGCCCGCTCACTCGCCGGGCGCGCTGCCGCCCCCGCACCCCAGCCTGGGGCTGACGCCGCAGAAAACGCACCTGCAGCCGTCCTTTGGGGCAGCACACGAGTTGCCGCTCACACCTCCTGCCGACCCCTCGTACCCCTACGAGTTCTCACCGGTCAAGATGCTGCCCTCGAGCATGGCGGCACTGCCCGCCAGCTGCGCACCTGCCTACGTGCCCTACGCGGCACAGGCCGCCCTGCCGCCAGGCTACTCCAATCTGCTCCCACCGCCACCGCCGCCCACGTGCCGCCAGCTGTCCCCCAACCCGGCCCCCGACGACCTCCCGTGGTGGAGCATCCCGCAGGCGGGCACCGCTCCCGGGACCTCCGGCGTCCCTGGGGGCAGCCTCTCCGGCGCCTGTGCCGGGGGTCCCCACGCGCCCCGCTTCCCCTCTTCAGCGGCCGCCGCGGCCGCCGCCCTGCAGCGGGGTCTGGTGCTGGGCCCGTCGGACTTCGCGCAGTACCAGAGCCAAATCGCCGCGCTGCTGCAGACCAAGACCCCCCTGGCGGCCACGGCCAGGAGGTGCCGCCGCTGCCGCTGCCCCAACTGCCAGGCGGCGGGCGGCGCCCCGGAGGCAGAGCCGGGCAAGAAGAAGCAGCACGTGTGCCACGTGCCGGGCTGCGGCAAGGTGTACGGCAAGACCTCGCACCTGAAGGCGCACCTGCGCTGGCACACGGGCGAGCGGCCCTTCGTGTGCAACTGGCTCTTCTGCGGCAAGAGCTTCACGCGCTCGGACGAGCTGCAGCGGCACCTGCGGACTCACACGGGCGAGAAGCGCTTCGCCTGCCCCGAGTGCGGCAAGCGCTTCATGCGCAGCGACCACCTCGCCAAACACGTCAAAACGCACCAGAATAAGAAGCTCAAAGTTACTGAGGTCGGGGTCAAGCGGGAGGACCCGCGGGACCTGTGAGCAGAAGGGCTCCTCTTTGGGGAGGTATTAGGGGCAGCCTGTGGACAGGTGGCTGAGCAGGGGAGCTTTGCCCCTTTTTGCTGCTGGCTTCCCACAGCCACGCCAGGCTCCCAGCTTCCCTAGCCCCGGCCTCCTCGGATGGACCCTGTGCCCAGGAGGAGCAGAATAGGTAGGGTTGGAATCTCTGTATTAAGCAAAGGCATTTTCAAGCTCTAAACCATTCCCACCATCTGGGAGACCCACAGTTTGGAGGGGTCCGCCCTTGGCTGACCTTGTATATAGGAAACACTGCTGAGTTTAAGCGGAAGGACCTTGTAAATCTCAAACAGAGCTCGGGGTTTTGTTTTATTTGGGCTTTTGTTTTTGTTTTTTACTATGACCGGGACGGACTTTGTACAGGTTATTTAATAGCTTTGTTAAAGAATAATTATAATAATTATAACATTAATGAAAATGTTACTTTTGTCCTCAGCTCCGTGCAGAGGTAAAGCATGAAATGTCTCTGTAAAGCGATAAGTAATTGCAGCGTGAAAATAAATATGTTAACTCCGGGGTCACCTCGGGAAGACCCCACTGAGCTGGTCTCATTTGAGCTTTCTTTCTTCTGGGATGCTTTGCAAAGCTGTCAGGTTTCACTGGGAATTTGAAGGTTTGTGTAGGTTGTGTCAGAGGCTTCTTTGGTCTGGAAGGTTCTAAGCAAGTGTATTGGGTGCCTTGGTGGAGAAAGTAGGACAGGGGCAGGACAAGATTTTCCCATCACAGCTTGAGACATGCCACCTTGGGACTTGATCAGAGACAGTCGGGCTTCTCTTATATACCTGATGCACTTAAACTACACGTTCTTTTAGGGCGGATACCTGTGGCTTTCCGCTTCCTGATGTTCTCAGGACAGAGGTCACAAGCGGGCGGCGCTTTCCCCCTCAGCTGGCTGTGTGGGCGGCTGGAATGGTACTTGGCTCTCAAGGACCTGTTCCCAGATGTTGGCTTTTTGAAAGTTACAGAAAAACTAGGGGGCCCTATTCAGGGTGTTCTTTGCTGGTGGAAGAAAAGCGCCATTCCTGTTTTGCAGACCTTTGGTGATCTATACAATTATGTCGTCCTTGTTTCTTCTTAATCACTTCCTCTGGGGTCTTAACAGGTTTGTTTCACCATAGTCGGTCGCTTAGGGATTTCTGGCTGAGCCTGGAAGTTACTACCATTTTGAACCTTGGGTTTTTTTTTTTTTTAATCATTGATATAAACTAAGATTTGCTCAGGGAGGAGCCAGAAATATTCATAGTTGGAAGTGTGGAAATGGTTTCTTATTTTTGTCTAAAAACTGAAGTTTTGAAGTTTAAAGGTGTTTTTTAAATGTCTCAACTGGCTTGATGTTTTCTAATGTGTGAACTTTAGAAACTGAAAACTTAATATTTGATTTAAGATTAGCAAAAATAGGAAAATATTGTAAATTTTAATATGTTAAGCTAGCCTCACCAATGCCAACTTTCAATAGAACTTGCTCACCTTTTCATGGGAATAGAAGTGTGTATGTACTGATTTACACACAAACTGTGACTGTGTCTTTTGTTTGAAATCAAACTGAAGGGTAAGTTCTTAAAAACTATGAGGGTATGGCTTGAGACTCACAGTAGTAAATAAAACACAAACATCCCTATAATTGAGGTGAAAATTACTTTTATACGCCTAAAAATAGCATTTTTGATCTGGAACTTGGGATAAGACACTAAATAGCCATTAGAATCATTGTGGAAATATGAATAAATAAACCAATTACTCAGTAGAAATTTTGGAACTATTTAATAACAAATGGGTTCTTTGCCTGCTAAGAAATTTGAGTTAAATTTTCAAGAGTGGGGTAGTTTTGCAAGCAATAGTAATAAGAAAGTTGCTTGACAGTAATATTAATATACATCTAATGTGTAATCTTAATCTAAATCTAGATTATTGAGAATCATTTCTGTGAAGAGTTACAAAATCTTAGACTGAACCATGCCTTGGCAAATGATGGAAAGAGCAATCCTTATTAGAGAATGAAAATATCAACAGCTTTGAACTCAGAAAAGTAGAATTGATTCTCTCATTGCAATGAAAAAGTTTCCTTATAACATCTTTGTGATTAATATCTGACACAGATAAAATATATGAAATTTATCTTAAAATACCATATTATAATTTTTAAGAAGCAGAAAAAAATCATTTGCTGACAATAACTTTTTTATGTTTTCAAATTTTGAGAACCTTAAAAATTTGGTAAAAGTATAGTCTTTAGACTAGCTTGGTATAGCTGAAAGACTGTTCCTCATTGTACCACTGCAAAAATGTGTTCCAGTTACTTTAGAAAAAAAAATGTTTATGCCATTATCCAAGTGGAGTCCAGGAAGCCACAACTATGGGATATTATTATTCAAATGTAGGAAAGCATTACACACTTATACTGAAAAATAAGCTAATAAGTGCTCAGTAATATAAGTTTGACGATGCAGAAAGGTATTAGACTGTGTAAGCTGTTAAAACTTGAACTGCTGCTGCATGCTTTGTCTACAGCCAAGGTACCATTTGGGACTTTAATAATTATTTTTACATAAATCAATATGTAAGAAATAAAAGTGTGTAATTAAGTATACTTAGCAGAAAATTTAATGAAACTCAAAAGAAGTCAGAAGCAAATTACTACTAAATGAAAACTAAAATTCATTTTTATTTGGACTTTTGCCAACATCAAAAAAGGAAGTTGAGTTACCAATTGTATACAAGTTGGATTTACTTAAAGTACTCAATTCAATTTTTAAAACTTATTGCCACTCTGTTAATTGCCTCGCATGTCAGTAGACATTTTACATTTTTAAGCAACTATTTTAGTAGCATACAAATAAAGAGAATAATGTCATAAGTGAGAAAATTTTAAATTAAGGTGACTTCTGATTATTTTTAATTTAACAGTCAATTGATAAATGAATCATTTTGACCAACTTAGAACATGGAGAAACTGAGTTATCACTAACTTGGGTAACTTGGAATTGTGTCTGAACTTGTTAACACTCCATACTTTCCTGCTTTTTCCAAGGGAAAATTGTGCACATTTATCTTTAACTGACCACTTGTTTGCAGTAGTTCTGGTAATGAATGAAAGTAAATATTGTAAAGAAATACAGCTGTATTATTCATCTCACTTTTAGTCTTTTCTAAGTTTCAGTTCAAGTTTAAGCTTTATATAAGTAATTGTGTATATTGTTTTAAGTTATTTTGCCTTAAATTAAGTCATACCAATTAATAAAATAATCTGGATGAGCATGCCTCTTATGGAAACCTACTTAAAACAATATTTGTAGAAAAGGCAGTTTTTCAACCCAATTTACACTATATTTCTATTCTAATATTGTGGGGTTTTAAGTAATCAGTTTAAAACAATGTCTTTAATGTTTCACGCTTACTTTGGTTCTGCTATGAGAGTTTCACAGAATGTTATTATTGCAGTAGCTGTGACTTCAAATTTATGTAAATACTAAGTTGTTTAAGGCCTTAAAATTGAAACCCTTTTACTTGCATTATCTCACATTAATTAATGACATGTTGAGGTAAATGGACAAAATCTCATTGAGAAATGGCTTGTATTGTATAATCAAATTCAATACTCAAGCTTTGTAATTATGGTGTTCTAAATTCCCAAACTGAGGTCCAATCAAAACAAGTCATATTAATGTTCTATGAAATATTGCTGCATTGATGTCTTCATGATAGAGGGGAACTTTATTTTTTTTTAAAAGATTTATTTATTTATACAAGCACTGGGGTACAGTCAGAAGAGCGGGAGGGTGAGAGAAGTCACCAGAGAGCAGAGGAGGCAGACTGAGAAAGTACACTGCTGAGGGTAGCAGCGGGCGGCCGGAGAGGTCTGCGCGCGCCATGTGGCCAGGGATTGAACCGGTGCTGCAGAGGCAGGCAGTGGGCAGCTTCACAGACCAGCACTCAACCGCTGGGCCACCAGGGAGGCCCCAGATAGAGGGGAACTTTAAAAAGGGATGAGACCAAGGGTAACTTTGAAATAAAGATGCAAGCAACATAGTTTGATAAACCAGGAGGGAAAAAAATCTGAAAAAATTCTAGATAAAAGTAGGTAAATTGATAATGAGATAGTAAATATTAAGATTGATATTAAAAAGGGGGGATAGTAAAAATTTGGGCCAAAAGGATATGTTTTATTATGGGGTCACTATAATGACTAATGTGGCATTCAATATATGTAAACAGTACATTTTTCTCTGTGGCTATTGGACACAGTACAATTTTGCATAAAGATCTTTGTGTCAATTTCTCCTCCCTTAACTGTTTTTAAATTAATTATAGGCATTATAAAAAACTTAAATAATATTCCTTACTACAATGAATAACTGATAATCGTTCAAGAAAGATGTAATCAAGCAGCTATGGACCATTAGAAATTTATGATAGTTTTTCACAGCTATTTTGCTATTACAACTTTGTATTATCAAAGATTTGCACCTGATGATTGATGTGGCATACATTTTTATGCTGATATTTTGATGACTTTCCTTTCTAAACTTTACATTTTTCCATCCCTGTCTTTAGTAATTATACAAAAGCATAATCCCCAGTGGAATATTGAACACTTAATTCATAACTCAGTCCATGCATATGAGCTGTAGTTGTTTCTGCAGAATACATCATAATTTATATTAACTAATATCTTTTGGTTGTCTACCTAACACCAAACTTCAATTCCTGATTTATGGAAAATCTACAACTTTCAAAATCTAAAGTTGTTTCAGCACGATGAAAATGCAGTCTGCCTATTATGAAATGGAAGTTTGTTTTATAGGAAAACTGCTCATCTAATTTTTTTCAATAGTTGACAAAATTCTGATTTCAAAAAATATGCTAAAATACTCTCAACTCTAAGTATCTAGATGTTACCTGATTTTTTTTTTTAAATAAAATTAACTGTCTCTTCATATAGTCTTATGTTTGCATAATCTAAAGCCTGGAGGAAGAACATTTAACCCTCAGCTTAATTTCATCCAGTTAACAAGGCAAATATCAAAACCAAATCCTCATTTATACCTCTGTTTGGGAAAATGTGTCCTAATTTGTGAAGTTAGATCACAATTTCTTAGAAATCTACATAAGATACCATGAAATCTTATTTCTCTCTTTGTGAGTTTTAGTCTTATGTATATTGTTTTCTTTTTCCATTCTCAGTGCTTCTTGTGAATCTCACATGTCTTCTATATAATCGTGTTTCATCCCTGACATGAGAGCTTATTTTGTGTCATTTGTCTCTCTTCCTTTTCTTGAAATGTTTATGCTATTTGATTTGGCTCCTTAGAATGCAGAACTTCATAGGATTCTAAACAGTGGTAATATTAAGTCTTTCATACTTTTTAGACATTTCTATTCCTTCATTAAATTTTACATTTGAATAAATAAAATTTATAGTTCTCTTTGAAGATTCAAGTCATGGTTTATTTGTGCAGAACATGGCTGATGTTTACTGTGAATTTGTGAACCACAGCAGGGAAAATAATTCCATCACAATTAGAAATAAATGGTAAAACATGATTGAGGATTATGGTTTGAGGTAGTAGTCCCAGGTTGGATAGATTTTAATTAGTAAAAAGTATACAAAAAAGTAGATTGCCTGAATCTATAAACTTCCATTTTTTTTATTATAAATTTTATTTTTATATTCCCCATACAATTGCAACCCCCTTATTTTGACCCCAATCCCTTGAGCTAAAGTTTTAATGAAGGGGATGTGAACTAAGACTTGTTAGCTTTTAAATGGAATGTAGACCAGAGGTGCAAGGGGTGAGAAGATTCACCAGAGACAGAGTGGGGAGCAGAACAGGCTGACTGACTGAAATACACTGCTGAGGGGAGCAGCAGGTAAGACAGGAGAGGTCTGCTGAGCCATGTGGGTTGACTCCCTGGCCAGGGATCTAACTTGCGCTGCAAAGGCTGCTATTACCTTCAAGGTGCTGAGACTTAACCCCTTGTGCACCAGGGAGGCCCAAGCATTTAACTATATTCCTTATTGAGGTTAATATATTTGATGGAGCCTTCTTTTTTCTCTCTTACACCTTTATTCTCCTCTGTTTGATCCTTGATGAAGTCCATGTCATCTCACCATAGTACCACAGAACAACTGCCAAGAAAATTGTTGTGGTAACAAATTTTGTACAGAGCCTAGGTTTGGAATATA